CCAACTGATATGAAAAGTTGATGCTTCATTAATTTATGAAGGTGGTAGTTTATTCTTACAATTAGAAATTACAAATAATAGTCCATTAACAATGACTAATTTCCAAATGCAATTTAATAAAAATGTTTTTGGATTAGTTCCTGGTCAATTAAATATTGATGCCATTCCTCCAAATAAACGTTGGGGTGCTTTACTTCCAGTTGGACTTATTCCTCCTGAAATTACAACTCCTGTTTCTTCTCGTTTAGAAGTTGCTATTGCTAATTCTACACAACAAATTTATTTCTATGTTCTTGAAATGCCAATTGGTTTATTAATGAAAGAACAGTCTCAAGTTGATATTGCTAATTGTGCTAATTTATGGAACTCTCTTCCAAATACTATGTCTAAAGAATATAAAGGATCTGGACTTGAACTTAAACTTCAAAAATTATCTACTTTCATTTTAGTTGCAACAAAAAAGGCTAATGACAAAGAACTATTAATGTACACAATTAAATTCCTTAACGACATCGACGTTATGGTTGAAATTACTTCTACTTCTAAAGGATATAAAATCCTTGCTAAATGCATCGACAAACAATATTTATCCTTTATTTTCAAATTCTTTGATGGACTTTTTTAATTAATTGAAACGTTAAGAAAATAAGTTGTATAATTATGGTTTAGATAAATAGATTAATGGGGAGTAATGAATAACTAATACTAATACCTTCTTTTTTTAAATAAGATTTATTAAGTGAGGTTTTAAATTAATGTTAGAAGGAAATTAAAATGGTTATCTTATTGTTGCTTTTTTTTTGGTATATTTTATAATAGAACATTCTTTTTGGTCGTTAAAATAACCGTAAATTTCAAAACCTGTTTTTCTATTTTTAATAAAATGAAAATCATCTTCTATTGAGTCTATAATTAAACTCTTTTCCAAACTTTTAAATCGTATAATGTCTTTCTTTGTATTCTTTACATTAATATGTATTGTTCTCTCTTTAGAACAATCTTCTTGTATTGTTTGTTGACTTAGAAAGAGTTTTACATTAAATTAATTGTTAATAGGATGGTGCACTAATTGGCAATATGAATAACATTGGGAAACAAGGTGATTTAACAATGAGCTATTCAATTACTTTTAACTGCTTTAATTCAATGAAGAAACCTGCTGAATATTCTATAGCGGCTTCAATTAATTCTCTTTGTTATATTCATGAAAAAATGCAATGGAGTCATAAAGGAAAACATAATATTTCAAAATGTGGTGCATGTATGACGTTAATTGGACCTTCAAACACACCATTTCAATGTACTGTTGCTGGTTTTTTTAGTATGACTTCAGAGATTGTTGATGATGATATATTTGAGAATGTGATTCTTTTAGACGAAAATTTTTATTTTAAGATAGGAAATAGATTTAATTCTTCTGCTGATCTATTTGTTCAAGTTACAGCATATAGTGGGGATTGTAATTATCATCAATTTGCATCACTCTATCTTCTACCTAGTAAGGAAGAAACTACTAAGTTTATGGTTTTAAACTCTAATAGAGTTATTGAAAAAGTTATTGTTGGTAGTCATGATTATTATCAACAAGATGATCACACGTTTGAAGTACCTTATATTAGTGTAGGAGAGTCAATTAGTCTTGTAGCTTTGAGTGGTGAGTTAATCAATGCAGTTCGGCATGAGACAACATCTCCTGTTATTCAAGCAGAAACTAAATTTAGTTCACGGATTTATTCAGGGTGTAATTATTCTCCAAATAGACAAGTGTTTCTCAATGGTACAATTCAAGGAAGAAATCCATATATTGCTTGGGATTTCTTTCAATTAAATTCTGATTTATCAGTAGTTGTTATAAATGCTACAGCAGATGGAGTTATATTTAATGCTACTCATGAACGTACAACAATAGTACTTCATTATCCAACATCAATTCAAATGAATCAACATTTTAGTGAAATTTATTTAACACTAGAATATAAAGGAATCCAAAATTTTTTGATGACAAATATTGCATTAAACAATAGAAGAGATACTCTTAAACATCAAGACTCCACGTATATAGAAGAAAATGTAACAACTATAATATATAAAGAAAATGACCATACCTTGAGGTTAAGATGTCTTTTTAATAGGTCTATTAAAACATATGGTTTGTTATTTTTTATTTAACTCATTTTTAACTAAAACAAAAGTAACATTGAAGCAAACATTATTTCATTCTCATTCATTACTGACATTGGAACTCAATTTATACTAAAAAATGCTACACTTAAACACAGGATTGATTTTATTCAACCATCTTGTAATTTTTCTTCAACAGATTGTTCATTTACTGAGTGTACAACAAACAATTCTTCATTATTTGAAGAGGGATGTGTGCCTGAATGTGGTAGTTGTAGAAGTGGTTATAAATGTTCTTCAGTAGGTAAATGCGAGTTAGAACAAAACCAAAACACTAGAAACTGTTCTTTTTTGGCTAGGGTTGTACTTTTGTGTTTAGTTATAGTGACGATAATAGTTTAACAACTGTGTCATCATTTTATTGATATTGCTCTTTTATTAATTCTAATTTTTTTAAATTAAATAAGGTATAAGTAATAACATTAAGCTGTTTTTAAATTATTAAATATCTTAGAAAATCATATTTATTCTTTATCACTTATTAATCTTTTTTTCCTTGGTTGAGGGGTATTTTCCTCCTTATTTTTGTTTTGTAAAACGTTTTTATTTTTTGTTGCTCTTTGACTTTTCTTAATTTTTTAAGAACTTTTTGGAAGATTATTGATATTGTTTTCCTATTTTTGTTTATTCGATTTTCATTTATTCTTTCAAGTCTTTTTATATTTTATCATTTTCATTCATTTTCAACACATAGTCGTACCAATTTGATGTATTAATGAGTTATTGAAGTTATTTTTCATTTTTTTACTTCAAGAAAGAAAAAAGGTCAATTAATAGATATATCCATTATTGGATTTTATGAATATTGAGAAGTGTTTATTTCAGTTTCTTCATTATGCTCTATTGGTGTAATAGAGTTCATTTCTAACATGCTTGCATTAGATTGTTCTTCTTCTAATGTGATGCAAGAATTGAATGTGTAAAACATTAAGTCTTTCATATTTTTTATAATTATTGTTCGTATGATTTTGGAAAAGTCTATGTGTAATTTCAGTGCTTTTAACCTTCTTACTGACTCTTTGTGTATTAATCCATTTATTGATAATATTACAGGTATTATTTCTACATATATTAATTCTCTATTATTTCTTAATTTCTCTTGTAATTCTTTGTATTTATTTATTTTGTGAATGTAATTTAATTCTATATTCATATCTTGACATATAGCAACATCTATAATATATCATTTCTTTTCTGTAATATTTTGATATTATATATCTTATCTTCTAGCATGGAAAGAATTGTCATTAACCAATATATCTTTATTGTAAGTTATTACCATTTTATCATTATTAATACATTTAGGAGGATTATTAAAATCAATTGCATCAAATTCATTAAAATGTGTAATTAATAAATGTTTATATATTTGTTTACATACATAATCATGTTTTAATATTTGATTCTTTTTCATTACAGGACATCCTAACAAGATATGATTAATAGATGCAATAGTGTTAGGACAATGTTTACAATATTTTAAATCATCACTTTTGGAGTATTTTTGATTTAATACTTCCTGTCATAGTTACTCCTTCTTGCATCTTTACTATTTGGAGGAATGCATTTCTTTTTATATTTAATGACCTCCAAGTGGCTACTGTTAATTTCTTATCATTAAAAGTGCCATTTGCACATCTTATATATTCACCACATTTCTTTTCTTTCCATTCATTTAAATATCTATCATTTAATTCATTACTTACCCATTCAATTACTTCCTTTACATTGTGCTTTCTTTCATTTAATTCTATTATATTCATTGATTCATTAAAATTAATCTTCTTACCAAATACTTTCTTCATTCTTTTAATTATTCAATTTGGATTTTCTTTTATTGTTTCTATCATTTCTCCTATTTCTGTGTTTAATAATTATATTTTAAATATATTCTTATTAATTCTTTAGCACATTCATCTCTTGCTGACATTAATCCTATTCCAAGTTCATTTATTTTAACATATAATCTACTTTTTGGGATATTTCTACCGTATAATTGGAGTTGTATCAATGAATTTCTTATTTGTTTATCTATCTTCTCCAATTCTCCTAGTTTCCATGTGACAATACTAAATCCATATCTAAATTTGGAGATTATATCACTATTAATCTTTCTTATTGTATTGAGGCTGCTATATTTCATAGTATTTAATGATGATAAAATAGAAGACACATCATTTAATATTATTGTACAATATTTATTGATGTTTATTTTATCTTATATTTCAATACCAAGATATTTATAAGGATTGTCATTAGTTACTCTTGGTAGTTCAGCTAATTCTCCATTTATTTGACTATTAATATTAGTCATTATCCCACTCTTTTCTACATTAATTTTTAATCCTATTGCATTAAATATTTCTTTAGTTAATTTGTTGGCTTTTTCCATTTCATCGAGACTATTAGTCATTATCTTTAAATCGTCCATATATAATATGTGGTTTAACTTGACTTATTTTTCTTCTTCATTCATTTTAATATTTAATTTGCTTATTTGTTTATCTAATTGTTTAGATAATATATCAATAGATAATACAAATAAAAGTGGAGATAAACTTATCACCTTGTATTATTCCTTTTTCTACATTAATAATACTATCACTTTCTTGATTATAATACAAATTAAGTTGTGTATTATTTAATATATATAATATATTATTAATTACTACTAGTGGGATATTAAAATATATTAAGCATTGTTTAATCCATTGGTGGTTAATACTATCATATGCTTTGGATATGTTATAATATGTTTCTACCCACTTCCATTTATTATTTATTAATAATTGAATGATTATAGTGTTATATAATAATCCTTCTTTTGATGCATATGTGTATTTCTTACATCCAATTTGATTTAATGAAAGTTGTTTTTCAATTGGATTTAACATCAATTGATTTTCTATTTTCATTTTTAATATTGATGTATACACTTTTAACAGACAATTTAGGCAGGTTATTGGTCTGTAATTCTGTGGGTCTAATTTATCTCATTTCTTATATACTAATATTGTTCTTCCTTGAATGAAATGAAGAGGTATTTCATTAGGATTGCTTAACCATTCATTAAATAATTTTAATAAGTATTTCTTTGGTTGTTCTAAATATTTAATCCAAAATCCTTGTATTTTATCAACTCCCGGTGCCTTCCAGTTAGCAGTAAATTTAATAGCACAATCTAATTCATTGGGAGTGATTATAGACATTCTATCATTAATTCTATTTTCAATTAATACTTCGTATAAATTAATATTCAGGAAGTCTATATTGGTGTTAGTTTCATAGATTCCTTTCCAGAAATTAATAGTGGAGATATTAAAATATTTGTAAATAAAAAGAGTAAAAAAATACAAAAAAAAAATAACTCATTGAAGTGATTGGTAGAATATAATTTGAATCAGTTAAAATTAATTTAATTTTAATTGAACATATACACTTTGTTTTATTCAATTGAATCAAACAGATCTTCTTCTTGAAAGTGTTTATTGAAAAAGTTACTAAAACCACCTGCTAGTATCACTATAGAGACGTTGGATGTTGAAAAATATTTTGAAGTAATAAATGCCTCTTTTAATGCTCGAGCACATTTTGGTCCACGTTGTTGTGACCTCATGCAGTGAACAACTATGTAATTATAATTATGATATTTCTCAAGAATTTGAGGAATTTTCTTCATCAATTCAGTTACTCTGTAGTTGATTGCTCCGTGAATTACACAAGTTCCAACATCACTTGAACGAACATCGAATATTTGTAGTTTAATTTTCTCATCCTTCATGAGTTGGATTAATTGTTCATCATTGATATAATCTACTTCAATATCCATAATTTAGTATTTTTTTTAGTTTTAGATTGTTTTTTTTAAATAAACAAAATGAAAAGTCTTTACTAAGGATATTCATACTAAACAAATTCATTTAAGGAGTTGGGTCATTTTTATACTTAAAAGATAGCCATAGCTTTATAGTGTAATTTCTTCGTCAATACCAATTCTTTTAAATCCATCACAACCTGATTGAGTTGTGTGTCTTTTATTTGGGTCATCGTTCCAACACTCACTCATTAATTTGAAATACTCATCACTCATTCTTTCTGGTTGATCAACTTTTCTCCATCCGTAACAAGTTTTAGTATTATTCATTGATGATTAAACCTTGGTTATTCAAGCAAAATGCAAATTTTTCAAGAAATATTTAATACATTACTATAGCAAATGAATATATATATCACATATATGAATATAGTATATTTCTCATTACCTCTGACTTCATATATGCAAAAGTTCAAGTACCTTGACTTAACTTTTTCTGTATTGTCTTGTATAAGAGTTACTCAAGTACTAGAATCAACTCAATTAATTTATCACAAGTTTTATTCACTGAATTTATTGAAAAAAATGAATATATTTTAACTTTTGACAACCTTATGTAAATATTAGTCTTTGTATAAATAAAAACAAATGAAAAGGTGTTGACATGAAATACTTTAACATTAAATGAATAGTTAATTTCATTATTGTTGCTCAACAACCGACTTAAATAACCAAATTCAGTATATTCTATTACAATAGAGTTTTTATCAACTAAATAAACTCTTCAGATAAAAACTACAATACACTGACTTCTAAATTGAGTCATCCCTTAGAGTTTATGTTCAAATTCTTTTATTTTGTTGTTCAGTAACACTTTTAGCTTTCATTCTCTAAATAGCAAAATTTCTACCTCTTCATTTTCATAGGGAAATAAAACTAAAAGTCCTTCTGAAACTATCAGTAGTTTGGGTGTTAAAACATTACCATTAAGTTTTAATAAATGTCATATTCAAATTTAATGACAATTTTTCAGTACTTTCTTCATCACTTTGAATAACCTTCAATGATATTTCATCACAATGTTATGATACACATTTGACATTGAAATCAAAATAATATTAATTCCACTACAAATTTCAAAAAAAACATCTTCTTTTTGTTCAATACCCAACAAATATTTATCTAAACTATAAGATTCATGAAAAGTGTATATTTTCTTAGAATTGTTCTAATGCTTGAGACTATCTAATTTATTTATTTCAATTATTGATTCATCACTGACAAACTTACTTGTTTTACTGCTAAATTCTAAGAAAAATTCACTAGCATTTAATGGAGATTCTTTAATTATTAACCTCAACAAATTTTAAAGAAACTTTATTTGTGATATCATATGTAGTACATGAAGTTTTTTTATTGTTTTTTCTTAAATATAAAAATTACAATAACATACTACCAATAATAATAACTCCAGTAATAACTCTAACAATAGTTTTTAAACAATCTCCATTCTTAACTCCAAAGGTATTTGAACATTCAAATACATTGATCAAAATTACTTTTGATACAATGTGAAATCTATTACATAAAATATATTCTCCATTTGAAACATATACATAATTACGATTCCATGAATTACAATGACATTTTCCAATATTAATAATAAACGCATGGTTTAAACAATTTTCATTATATTGTGTCAAATTATAATCTGACTTTCCAATTATATAAAAATAAGTCATATTAATCTCTTCTACACTCATGCATATCATTGTACTGTTACCTTCTTCTTTCTTTAAATTTCAATCACTAAGCACAAATAACACAATAATATTCATTCGTACAAGTAGAACATGTCTCATTATATTTCAAACAAACAGAGGCATGCTCCTCTTCATTTGAAGAAAAACAGTTAGGAGAATTACATATTAAACAATATCCAAAAGAAGTATATTCACATAGAGTATAACTTAATTCAACAAACTCATATATCCTCTATCATTCATTATCAGTTAGTAGATATTTTACAACATATCTGTTAATACCAGAGCTACAATAATTTCTTTTGCTTTCACATTATTGATAAATAGATTCATTCTCAATTAAGTAATATCCAAATTCATTATTTTTTGCATTTGCTGATGACTTGCATTTCAAACGATGAAATACTTAATTAGCTTCACAACTAACTTCTTTCAAAACACAGTTTCGATGTTGAATCTAGTTTGAAATTAAATAAAAAATTGAAGCTGTAATATACTCATGACAAGAATTATCCTAAGGAAAACATTTCCAATATTCCATCATATAACATGACTTTCTTATGACAAACAACTTTTTATTAAACTTGTTTCTTTACAGTGTTCAAATTGTTAACAATATATTCTAATTCATTTTAACTATTCATTGTAAAAATATAACCATCATCGCAGACTGAACATTTTCTTTATGCGTATATTATAGAATAAACTAGACAAACCAGAAAATTATAACCACATTCTCCACAAATCTCATCTTTGAGTTGATAATCATATTCATAATGAATTCAATAACCACCAAATAAATCATGTGTAAAATCCGTATCATTGTAGATAATGCTCAACTGAAATAGAAAGGCTTGTACAACTTACTTTTCAAGTAAGTTTTATTGAATCATTAATAAAACATTGTATCAGCAACACTTTCATTATAATTACTTTGACAAAGAACATATCATCTCGATAATAAGCTAAAATACTGACTATCATGACATATCCCACCACCGTCACATTCCTCACAAATTATTTGGTCATTTATAATCGAACACTATTCACATCTAACATCTGATTGACTATAAATGATATATGTGTTGTTTGCTATATTCGATATATATTCCTCATTACATTCAATAAAAAGAATTCCACTATAATACTTACAACTATCTACAAGTGAAATAAGCTTACATAAAATTACTGAGGTATTAGCATTAACATCATCTATTTTATGAATGTAATACATAGAATAATATTTATTACACACTATATCAGTAGTCTCAGCTTCGCAAAAACCAATAGTAAAATAATTCTAAAACAATTCAAAGAGAAGTAATAAACTCATCTTTACAATTTATAAACTTTTTAACATAAAAAAACCATAAACAATCTTTGTTTATGACTTTAACAATAATATTTATTAATTCTTTTTAAAAATATACAAACTCCTTTTCATCCTTCTTCTAAGTTCTGGTAAAACAGTTGTTAATTACCACTCATTTAATACTTCTATTAATTAGGTAAAGAACGTAAAATAATGTCTCTACCTAATCTCCATATTACTTCTATAAATAAAAAATTAAAATAAAAAAAAATAGTGTTAAATATAAACAGAATACATCAAACATTGGAAAGCTTTATTTTTCAACTTGTTGTTCTTTGTCCTTTATTATTGGAGGTGTTCTTGGAGAGATTCGTGGTGAAGTTTTTGGAGAAGTTTTTTCGCTTTGAATAGTTTGTGATTTTATACGAGGAGAAGTGACAGCTAAATCTTTAGATTCGTAAAATTGTCTTATTTGACCAAATTTACTAGAGAAAATTGTCTTTTTATTATCAATATTAATCTCTATTTTATGTTCTTGGTGTTTAACACCAGTTTGTTGTTGTGAACTACTACCATTAGAAGAAGGAGTGATTGATTTACTTTCTACTTTTTGGTTAGGAACTTCTAATGAATTTCTTGAGTCATTGAGAGGAGATATAATTGAAGGTGTTAAGGTAGTAGATGAAGAAACTGAGTTAGGTGTGTTTAATGGAGAATGACATAATTTTGAAGGAGATAATTGTGTTCGTTGGGGACCAACAGAAAAAATAACAGACCTCATTACTGGAGAACTCTTTTGGAAATCACTAAGATTTGCAAATGTTAGTTGTGTTTTTGCTTTTAGATTCAAAGAGTCTGTTTTACCAAAACGTCTCTTTTGAACGTGCCTCCTTGGTGTTTCTATTAGTGAACGGGTTGAATCATTTAATAAATGTGGAATAATTCTTGCATTCTTTTTTGCTATTAGTTCATTTGCTGATGATGCCTCTGAAGAAGCAGCAACCCCTGCATTAATTTGAAGAACAGTAGAAGTAGGGAGAAAATCAATAGAAGGTAGAGACAATACAAATTCATGTACAACCTCTACTTTTGGTTGTTGATTAATGACATTACTTGAATTTAGAATTAAAAAAGATAAAATACGTTCTGATAATCCTGGTGTTAAACCATAAAATAATAAAGGAGCAAATCCTTGTGGTAATATATCTTTAGAGAAGGAAAAATGTAATGATAATAATTGTATGACTATACTAACAATAGGTCTCATTGTATCTGTTAATTCATCAAATGCTCTTCTTAATAATTCAATACGATCTTCTTTATCTAGGAAATCAAATGACACAAAATGTTTTGTATGTTCAATTGGAATCATTGGTTCGTTTAATGATAGTAAATACATAACAAGTAATCCTCCTGCAATAGGACTTCTTATAATTCCATGTTCTTCAAAATTTCTTATTTGAGCAACACAATCATCATTCCTTACATCAAAATATCCTTGTTTGGTAAATTCTTCAGAGTTATAGATAACTTCAATTAATCTTTCAAATTGTTTTGGAGCTCCAGTGTTAGAACATTCAATATCATGTCGGTCCGTTCCAAACAATCGTTGGTATCGTTGTTTCCTACTAATTTGACAAATTCTTTTAATAAATCCTCTTGCTGTTGTTAAATCACATTTTAAAGTTAGTGGAGATGTGAATGCTAAAATTAATCTATTGTCAATATAATTTTCATCTAACCTAAAAGAAATGGTATTTTTCCAAACGTTTAGTTCTATAGAAAGTAATTCAATTGGATAAATAGCCTTAAAATGTTCTTCGACATAAATAATTACCATTACATCAACTACAATAGCTATTGCATTAACATTATCTAAATGAAAAACATATTCATTGTAAAACCGTGCTGATTTAAAGCGAAGTCTATCACTTAATAAATCTCCTAATTGACTTTTTAATTCACGAAGAGGTAGTAAATAAATAGTATCTCCATCAATCCATTCTATTTCATCTAATGACAATGACGGGCACATACAACCTATAACTTTTTCTCCTTTAAGTAAGATAGGATATGATGGTATTACTGTAAATGTTTGAAGAATTGGTTGTAATTGATTTAAAGGAAGGGTTGGATCTAATGGAATCGTTGTTTTACATACTTCTTTATTATACTCCATTACTAAATTAACATATAACACTTTTTGTAAAGCAGTAACAATTACCTCAGTCTCTTTTACTGCAATCTTAATTCTTCCAACAGGAGAAGATGGACTCATTGTTTCATTAATACTATTTCCAGTATAAAAAATATATATTTGGCATTTAGAAACATCAACACCCATTGCATCCCAGAACATTTGAGAAATTAATACATTTGCGTCTTTAGCTGCAACCACTACTAATTCTTTTCCTGGATAATGTAAAGTTAGTCGTGTACATCCTGCTGATAATGGAACAATAGATGAAGTTCGTGGTTCAATTTTTAAAGATAAGTCAAATGCTTCTTTATCACTCATAGTTACTTCATATCTTGAATCTGAGATTATTGCTGCTTGAATTTCTATATTTTTAATGATTAGTTGAGCATATGTTTGTTGGTGCATAAACATAACTTGTTCTAATATATGTGCAATTTGTCTGCATTTACCAAAATTAACCATTTCATTTTCTTTAGTTTTATTACCAAAATTAGTAAAAGTAAGATCACTCAATATTAAGCCAATATATGGTACTGTTGGTTTACCAACTAACTGACGTGATTCTTCTCTTAAAACATTCCAATTTTTATCTGGGCAAGCAATAGGAATTAATTTATTTAATATCTTTTTACTCTCTCCACTTATTGAATCAAATGACCTCTTTAAACGATGAATGGAAGATGTATTAAAAAGAAGAAGAATACATAATAGTGTATCAAAATTATGATATTCAAAACAATAATCAGCTACACGAACAAGTCTTTCTATAATCGCTGCTCTTTGAGTTGTTTCAGTTTCATTTAGAATCATTCTAGTGAAATGATTTTGAAGTCCATTAAAAAATGTTTGTGCATAAACAATATTTTGACAACTCTCTTTCTCACCATTTGACCACATTAACATTTCATATAACCTAATTCTTCTAAACATATCTGAAACAATAAGAGTTATTTGACGAGCATATTCTATTGGATGTATTGACTGAAAAATAGTTGGATTTAATGTTCGTCCAATAATTTTATTTAATGAAGGGATTGATTGTTCTACGTTCTTTTGACATTGAACATATTCAACTTCAACGTCATTCATCTATAATATGTCAACATTTAATTTTTATATAATAATAAATAACAAACAATTCTTTGATAACACTGTTTAATTAAATGATGTTCTCGTACCATTCCATAACTTTTAAGTAAATTTAATAACTTACCAACAACATCATTAACTGAACTTTCATTTTCTTTAATAACTCCCCAAATATTTTCAATCCAATATTTAACTGCACTAATTACCCTTGCTCTAATTAATAAACTTGGTTTAGAATCATCATTACATCCTACTTCATATCTTTCAATCATAGCTTCTAACATTTCTTGTGTAGAACAAAAACCAGTGTATGTCCAAATAAATGCTTTCATCATTCCATTTTGTTCTTCACTACAAAAACATTCAATAAGTCCACGAACATCCCCTTTAATTACTTTACCATTAACATCTCGTTCAATATATCCTGGAGGTATAAGTTTTTTAATTTCTTTTCTCCTTTTTGATGTGCCATTTCCTTCATTATGAACAATGACAAATTTACTACTTTCTATTCCATTTTTCAAAATATTAACTTCACGAGCTAACCTTATTTGTATTCGTTGTTCTGTCATATAATTTCTAGGATTTTGTAAATATCCTACTAATGAATCATTTGATCTTGTAGAAAATGTTGTACTTCTTTCATTGTGGAATAATCTGTTTTTATGTGATGGATCAATAACAATTGTTGGTTGCATAAAACCAATTTACACTTCAATTTTTTAGTTTATTTTCAGAAAAACAGAAAAATTTATCTTCAAATTGGTAAATAATTTTTTTGTTATTTTCTTTTTTTTTATTAATTTAAAAATAATACATTTTATAATAATAATAATAATAATTCTCAGTCACTTCAAATCTTCATTCAACAAAAAAAAACACAAAAATGAAGTTATCAACTAAAAATAAATACCCTTGTTATGATGGAATTACCACATATTAAAAGCAACTCAGGAAGATATGCTTTAATGAAACAAAAATACTCAAATAAAAATAAAGGAAGAATTACTGTTGTTTCAAGTTTTATTTTCTTTTCATTTATTATTCCACTTGCCTTTGGTTATGCTATATGGAGACCAATGACCCTTCTTTGGACATTTACATTAAAACAGTCCAGTCATATTTTTTGGATATCATTTTGTTGTTGTTGGATATTATTTAATATTAAAGTTTTTGAAGAATTAATATATTCAAGAAAGTTATTAGTAATATCAAATATTGTTTTAGATATTTGTATGATTCCAACAACAATACTTCCTTTTGCATTAAGTTATGATATATTTCAAATAATGCATAAATTACTTTTTGGAAGTTCTTTAGTATTTAAAACAAGAAAAATATGGGGGTTTTGTATTTTAACTATTTCCTTTATTCTAAATAATATTGGATTTTATAGAGGTACTCATATATCTACTATACATTATACTATTAAAACAAAGAAACTTAAACATTCTAAAATTCGTATTGCACATATTTCTGATATTCATATTGGTTCAAGACTCGATAAATTACCACAAAAAATGGTAAATAAGATCATTGAAGAAAATCCTGACTTAGTTGTCATTACAGGTGATTTAATTGATTCACATAACGTCATTTCAACTGACCTTGCTTCTTTCAATGCATTCAAAGAAAGAAATATTCCTATTTATTATACTATTGGAAATCATGACATTATGGCAGGAGAAGAATATGTGTCAAGTATACTAGAATATTATGGAATTATTTATTTAAAAAATCAAGTTACTCAAATAACTATTGGAGATGAAACTATCCAATTAGTTGGAATTGATGATGTTCAAAGTATAACTAAATATAATGAAATTTTTAATTCTATAACTCCTTCAATACATAATAATATTTATACAATTCTTCTTCACCATCGACCTCAGGGATATAAAACTTCTGTTCAATCAGGTCAAATTGATTTACAACTTGCTGGTCATACCCATGATGGTCAAGTATTTCCTTTTAATTATATTGTTCCATTATTTCATAGTAAGTCTTATGGAATGTATCATATTAAAGATACATCCAAAGAACTTATTTTATACACTCATCCTGGGTCATGTGCATGGGGACCTCATTTTAGAACAGCAGCAAAAAATTTGATAACAATCTTTTCAATTGAATCTTCAAATTAATAAAATTTAATTCAAATACAGTGAATAAAAACTAACGTCAAATAAACACATATCAAATTAAATTACTTATTTGTATTAGATTTTATATATGATGTATTTGTTTGTTGAATAATACTTCCAAATATATCTGGTTCATTTTGTTTATTATCTTTTCCAGGTAATGGTGTTTCATGTCGAGTATGGTGTCCTTTCTTTGAGGTATTACTAATAATTTGTGACTGTTTATCTAATGAGTTTGTGTTCATTAAATAATAAGTTCTTTGTTCTTGTTTTGAAATAAAAAGTTCTTGTAGTATAAAAAGGATAAAATATATTTAAATACTCAATAATAATTTATATTTGTACCATTTGTTTTGATGTTTTTTTTTTCACTTTTATTATTCTCATTGGTTCAGTCGATTTAAAGACAAAGCTATTATCCTGACTTACTTTAAAAAAAATAACAATTTATGAATCTCTGAAAATGCCTTCATTCAAAAAATGATAATTAAATAAAATAGGTTGAGTTGTAAAGCGTTAATGAAAAAGACTAAAAGATGATGTAAATCTAAATGTTCTAAAGTTTAGGTTAAATTTAGTATGTGTTCAATAAAAAACTTCCAAACTATACAATTGTTTAAGAATGAATAAAGTCACAATACTAACAAAATAATAATACTTAAATAATGCAAGTGGATTTAAATTGTTATTATGCTATAAAAATAATTGTATAATAAAAGAAAAAAATATGTAAATATTTCATTAGAACGTTGAATTAAAAAATAGTTTTAGAAGAATTACTTTGTCTCGACTGTGATTTCTTATTTGCTAAAAACCCAACTAAAAGACTTAATAATGCTATAACAACAAGAAGAACTCCTCCTAAGAAATAAACTGCTTTAGGACTATAACTATACTTGGGTGGATCATTGTTCTGATTAATAATACTAACACATAACTCTAAATCAATTGGTTCTAACGCCGTCACATTAAAATAAATAATTTCTCCATTTGTTACTTCTAATTCAATTGCATTTGTTTCTTCAAGTTGAAGAACTGAACCAAAAGATTGAATTGGGAAACTCAACTGACCATCTTCACAATGGTCGTACATTTCTACTTTGGCATGACCAATTTGATTATCACCACAAAAAGTTAATGAAACTTTCTCATCATTGTCTATTCTTAAAGAGAAGATAGTTGATGATTTAATTTTGATATTGCTTGGAGTTGACACAGTAGGAATAGAAGAACATTGTGATGAAGAAACAAGGCAAATGAAAAAGAATACAAAGAAGAGCTCTCTCATTAATTATTTTATGTATTGGCAAATGTTTAGTTCATAACCTCTTTTAATTAAACTCAGTAATCCAAAGTAATTCCTTATAATACCATGTCAATCCATCTATTCTTGAGAACTTTACTTTTTTCTTTTCCATTTTACAATTCACTTCTGAATTTTCAAGAATACTTCATTTTCGTTTTATATAACATTTAAACTAAAAATAGTAAAACAAAATCTTACTTATTTTTTACATTGAGAAAAAAAAATAGTAATAAGAAGCTATATTATTAAACTAATAAAAAATTATGTTAAATACTTGGTTCTTCTTTTTCTTCTATAAAATACTTTCTTTTGATTTTCAAAGAAGAAAAGAGAAAGTTGAAATCAGTAATTCATAGAGAAAAAAATTGGAAAATAGGGGGTGAATTGTGTAAGATAGAAAAACCTAAAAATCAAATCTTAGGAAACGAACAAGCAAAACAAAAGGAAAAGATAATCTTAAAAATCGTTAAAGTTTATATGAATTTAAGCGCGGACCAATCGCGTTCATCAGACGATGAAGATGACGAAGTACCGATACGACCTCATACCACAGAAGGTGTAACTAATGGACCATCAGTTTTACTTCCCACTATCCCTACAATGAAAAAGCGTAAAGCAGTAACTACTGATTTTAAGAAAGTCAAATTAATTGGAAGAGGAAATATTGGAAGAGTTTATCTTGCACAAAAGAAAGGAACAAAAGAGTTTTACTCATTGAAAGTTATAGATAAGAAATTAGTTACTCAGAGTAAACAACAACATATAGAAAGTGAAAAGGGTATATTAGAACGTTTAAAACATCCTTTTATTGTTCATTTAGAATGGGATTTTGAAACACCCTTTTATTATATTTTTGTTATGACTTATTGTGCTGGAGGAGATTTTTGGAGATTATTAAATAAACAACCAGGTAATTGTTTTAGAGAAGTAGTTGCTAAGTTTTATCTTGCTGAAATTATTTGTGCATTAGAATATCTTCATATGGAAGGTGTTGTGTATCGTGACTTAAAACCTGAAAATATTTTATTACATGAAAGTGGACATATTATGTTAAGTGATTTTGATCTTAGTAAACATTCTGATGTAGAAGACCATGCTAGAATAAAGTCAAGTTTATTTGGGGAAGATGAAGTTGTTGTTGAACCATCAAATTTCAGATCTAATTCATTTGTTGGTACTGATGAATATTTGGCACCTGAAATTATTGCAAAAGATGGTCATTCTGCATCGGTTGACTGGTGGACTCTTGGAGTCCTTATGTATGAGTTTCTCTATGGTTGTAATCCATTCGCTGCTTCAAGTATTCAGGAAACATATTCAAAAATTCAAAAGGGAGAATTTACATTTCCTAAAATGCATAGATATAAAGTATCAAAAGATGCAAAAGATCTTATTAAAGAATTACTTGATGTTGATTCAGAAGATAGACTAGGGTCAAAGTATGGAGCATCTGAAATTAAACAACATGATTTCTTCTCTAATATTAAATTTGCGTTAATTAGAAATATGACACCACCTATTATTCCTCGATTAAATGGTCGTAGAGACACATCATACTTTTATCAATATAAACCTTACGATGATGACGTTCCTGATGATTGGGGATATGCTGCAGAGCAAAAACTCTATACTCCAAAGAAGAACCAAATGAAATTAACTTCATTGGATGACATAACATCATCTATTGATAAAATGAAAGAAGGAAATTAATTTTTTTAATTCAACTTGTTTTTATTTAATTAATTCTACATTTAATAAGAAAATGAAATAAGAAATATTTTTAATTAACTTTGATTGTAACAATTCCTTCAAGAATATTATAAGCTTTTTGTAATGCCTCTAAATTCTTTTTTAACATTTCTCTCTTTGTTGTAATTGCTGGACTTTCACTCATAAGATCATTTATTTTATCACTCTTATACAATTCTTCAACTAATGCTTTTTGTAAATCTTTACATGTTTGGTTAATGAGGAAATGCATAATTGCTTTAGGAACAAAATCCTCAATACTTTTTCTTACGATATTTAAATATGACCTAGTTAATTCTCTCATCATCTTAATATTTCTTTGTTCTTTTGTATCAGTAGCACTGATTACAATTGGTTCAACTTTAGGTTCTGGTTGGACTGGAACTGAAGGAGTGGTTTGTTTTTGAGTTTCATTATCTTCATCCTCATTTTCGTCTGATGCTTTGCTTGCCCAAAACCAAAACCCACCTTTGGATGGTGATTGTTTTTTAGGAGGTTTAGTTGTTGGTTGTTGTGGAATAGGTTTTGGTGGTGCTTGAGTAACAACAGGAGGTTTTTGTTCATTTGAAGGTGTGGCACTATTTATTCCTGCGTTTAACATGATTTCTGTTGCATCAAAATCTGGATGGATGGTGTTAATATAAGATTCTTCAATGTCAATCAAATTTTTAACCATTTCATGTGTTTTATTTAAATTTTTATCTAAAACATTATCAGAAGCAATAATTATAGCATCTCTTAATTTGGCGTATCGTACCACTACTTCAGAAGCAACATATGTAAAGATATTTGACATTTCTTTACGAATTTTATCAACACACTGTTGAGAAGAATCGGTAAATTTATCAATTTGTTGTTTAACCAGTATTTCAAATGCAGCTTGTGAAAGGAATAATGCTGAGTTAACTCCTTCTGTATTTTTCATAGCAGTTTTAATATCTTTATCAGAAATTTCTTTAATTAAATCGAGTTGGTCAATAATTGGTCGATAAACATTCTCAAAAACATCAAATATTTTTGCACCACCAATTAGTTCATGTTTTTCAATATCAAATTTCTCTCCACTAATTGTTTGTTGAATTGAAGTACAATACTCAATAACTTTTTCTAAGAGTGCAACATCTTTTTGGTCAAATTCAATTGCAAATTTGTTATATTCTAATTTAGTTTTATTTAACATTTCAGTAATAGTAATACGAAGTGATGGAAGTGTTTTCATAATGTGTTGCATTAAAATTTCATTTAATGTTTTTGTTAAATAAGGAATGCCAAGTCTGTCTGCAATTTTTGAATAAATTGGATGATTAGAAAACCATTCTTTTTCTTTTGTAAGTGCTGTTTTAATAGGTACATTAGTGTCAATGTCATGTTGGGATCTATTTAATACTCCAATATATCCTAATTTTAATGGATATACTCTTCCATATAACACATCCATTGCATCAGTTCCTTTATCCATAATATCCATTTTAGTTAATACTCCAATTGTTCTATCTCCATCTGGGTCAACTTCACGTGCAATAGATAACGCATCTGATGTAGCTAAATCTACATTAGCTGATGTAACTGCAAGAATAATAGCATTTGGACGTTCAATAAATTTAAGTACCATTTGTTTTAATTGATTACTAATATCTTTTTCTTGACTTCCAACAGAAATTTTAGTTAATCCTGGAAGATCAACTAATGTTAAATCAACAACATAAGGAGAATATATCTTTAATCGAATTGCAACTGGTGAAATTGTTTTCTTTGTTCCTGTTAGACGTATTGTTTCATTTTCAATCTCTTTTTTAATCTCTTCAAAGTCTCGATATACAATTCCTGGTTTATGTGCAAATTCTCCCCATTCTTTTGTTTCTGTTGATGGAAGATTAACTAATTGAAGAATTAATGGTCTTTTTGTTACCATTCCACTTCCTCGTGGAAGAAAATCTCTACCAACAATACTTTCTAATACAGATGATTTACCAGCACTTTGAGACCCAACAACAACAATTTGTGGAAGGTCAATTCCTTTTACTCCAATAGTATTAAAGACGTCTTGAAGTTGGTTAATAACTGGAATAAGACTTTTCATGAATTTAGTAATGTAATACCCATTTTTAAGATTAGTTCATTAATATGGTGAAAATCTGTCTTGAATTGAATAATTATGAAACACCTCATTTAGTTCATATTTTTATCATTTTTCCTTGAAGCTCAAATAAAATTGCAGTGAAAGATTTTTAATTCATTCTCTAAAGTCATTTCTTTTCTATTCCTCACTATACTTATAATGTCATCTAAAAACAAAATATTTGTATTATGTGATAATATAAGAAAAGTTGTGGTATGGCATAGATAGAATTATGATAGTCTTGACACTCTTTCTTTTATATTCAATTATCTCAGTTTTCTGAACCGACAAAACAAATTCTTATTTATTTAACAAAAGATACACTCTTATTGTTTTTTTAATAGCTGTTAGTTAATCAAAGAAAACGTTTTCTTTAGTTTATAAGCAATTTGATACTAGTATAGTTTAGTGTTTTGGGAATGTTCATAACTTATAATACTTCTAAACAAACATAGTCAAAATAGTCAACCTCAATTGAGATAAATTAAAATGTCTTTATTGAGAATAATCAATAATATTTAATTTATTGTTATTCACTAATGTATTAGAAGTGTTTGATATTTATGGTTAGTGTTTATATTCATGGCATATCTATTCATTATTGAAAATACTTGATTAGTAATTTTTATACTGATAATATCTTCTCAATACAACATTAATTATATGATTGAGAGTATCAATACAAAGTGAAAATAATTAAGTTACTGATTGAAAAGGATTTTCAGTGACAATTGAAAAATTCATGGATGTATTGAGTCATTGAACAGGTCAGACAATGATAGATTCAAAAAGACTAAATGAACAATCACTTAATGGCATTGAATTAACATTCATAAGTCATGAACGTAAATGAGATTCTAAGTGAAAATGAATTTATATTATAAATACTGATCAAACATTATTTAGGAATCAATAAAAATCGAATTTATTATGATGATTAATTATTCTTAAATGAGGTTTAATATTTTTCATTCTTTGTCTATATCCACATGAATAAATAATTAGATAATAAGTCATTTAAGTAATTTCTAAAGATATATAATATTGAGATTTGTTATAGGTATATTTTAGCATACTTTCTAGTACAAACGTTGAAAAGATATGATATGTATGG